CAAATAAAAAGCATTAAAGTAATCTTTTAAGTCTTTTATCACAGTAGTTTGTAATCCTGAATTCCTGGACATCCAGTGATGTTTCTCCGTATTTTTTCTCTCTTCCATATTATTGACCCCAAAATGCCAAAATATAGTTTATTATTCCTGTTTATATAGAGTGATTTTCACAGTGTTGGGTTTGCTAAAATGAGTGATCATCATCTTGGGGAGAGAGGGGCATCTGAAGCAGCCTGGCCTGTGTAAGGAAATTGACACCACTCTGGAGCCAACTAGTTGCCAGAGTTGGGGGGATCGTGATTATGCCCAAGGTCTTTGCTCTTCAATCAAAGCACGGCCACTGCTTGCTTTTGAGTTTGAAGCAAATGTTTCAAACTCAAAAAAGGCAAAATAAACATCATAAAAGGGGACTTGAAACCCAAGTAGGTGAGGAGATAGCCTTACGAGGGGCTCTGAATGAACCAAGGTTTCAGAAGCTCTGAGAGAACTTGAAGATGTGCACATAGGACAAGTTTTTAAAATATTCTGAAGAGAGGGGACAGAAAACTGAACATGTAAAAAAAAAATCCCAGTTTCAGCAAGATGGATCCCAGACACTGCAGACAGCCCAGTTAGATGTGGGTTCTTAAAATCATTCTAGAATAGATGATTAAACAGATGGCTCATGAGCCTGTGGAAAAGAACACAGTGATCATTGGAAGCCAGAATGAATTCACAAATAACACATTGTGCTGTACTAATATTTTTTGACAGGATCGTTGAATTAATCATTAAAATACTGTGAAAAATATAATATGGCTTGATTTCAGCAAGAATGGGCAATGTGGGAGGGAAGAATGCGGGCTGGATGGGAATTTAAGTAATGTGCCTATTGATCTGAAAGAGGATTCCAAATGGAGCGCCAGCTCTATCCTGTGAACTGTGTTTAGCCAAGACTTAAAGACAGAGGAAACATGTCCGAGGTTGACTCAAAGCTGAGAAGAGTCACGAACGTGACACTGGAAATATTTCAATAGACCAGACCACAGGGCGAGCCCTACAGGCATACAATCAAGTTCTTCTTTTGGTTCTTCACAGGTGGAGGACAGCGGTTACATGGAATAAACCTGGGGGTTCTGTGACCTGCAGATGCAGGCTCAGGGGGAGCCAGAGAGGTGACGTAGCCACAGGCCCGGGGAGCCACAGTTCACACTGTGCTGAGTTTGAGCCTCCTTCTCATTTAACCCTTACGGCCACGTTTCAAGTGGCAAGCGCTGCCCCCTTCTGACGGATGAGGGAACAGAAGCATAGAAGGCTGAATAATTGAATAAACTGTCCTGAGGCCATGCAGCAGGTCAACAGCAAGGCCAGGATTTGACCCCAAGTCTGTGCAACCCCATGGCTTGTCGAGACCACAACACCATTGCCCACATCGCGGCCCTAGATCACACCATACTGGCAGAGCTGCATCCCGTTCTCCAGGTCGCTCTACAGCCACATCACATAAGAAACTGCTGAAGAACTAGAACAAATCAGCCTGGAGACGACAACAATTGGGGCATGATGGAGCCTAAATGGATCATCACGACTTACAAGACCTCTGCGGTCCAGGCTCTGCTCACCTATGAGGTCTAGTTTCTGTCCTTTCTCCTTCATGTGCTCCTCTCTCCCCAAGTCCTATCCTGCCGACCTGTGAGCAGATGTCAAAACGCACCCCCCCCCAAACACCTTGTGGCAGCTCCACCTGTTGTTTCCCCCTCCTCTATGCCCCTACTGTCTGTCGTCTGGCCAACTCTTCCTACCGAACTCTGCTTCCTTGGGAGGCCATCTTTTTAGACCCTGGCCTGGGTCCAAGCCCATCTCTCTGCTGCAGGGGGCTGTCACCGGCAGCGTCTTCCACAGACCACCTCTAATGTGTTTCCTGCTCAGTGATGGAGTCTTTAACTGATCCAACCTCAGAGAACGTTAAAAAACAAGTTATTCTTAAGGCCCCTACAAATAGTAAGCACATTATCAAAACTAACATAGTAATTTAGATTTAACAAACCTAAAATACCATCATTAATACAGCTAGTGCTCGACTTATGACCACGGTCGGGACCACGGACCGGTCGTAACACGATTTGGTCGTAAGTTGAGTAGGCTATATGTACAGTTGAAATGGTGCACTCGGAGATGGTAGTGCTGCCGGAAGCTGGTCCGCACTGTCGTCCGCCCAGCTGGGCAACGTTTGCGCTGCCAGACGCGGAAGAGTCGTGGCTAGCGATTGTGGTCGTAAAGTCGAATGGTCATAAATTGCATAGGTGGTAAGTCGATCAATACCTGTAGATACTTCCCTAATGGGAATTTAAGGTTTTGTTTCCCAGGACCTCCAAAAATTTAATACGTTGGTGTCTGTACCCTAGCAGAGAATGAAAACAACGTCTGCAGAAGAGACTCCCCTCAAAACAGGGCTTTCCCTCTTCTTTTCTGATGCAGCCAGTGGGTGGCTCTACTTTTGACATTACTCCATGTTTTCTTAGATGAGGTTCTTTAACTCTATTTTTTAAAAACCTGAATCAACAATGAATCACAAATTAAGAATTCTTAAAGTGCCTGGCAGAAAAACAGCAGAAAATCTGACAAACCAGAGACCGAAAAGATTGCCTCTCTGGCTTTGGACTCACATGATACTGTATAGAAGGAAATAGGGTGTTTGTGGAACTATTTGTTCCTTACGATCAAATCAGTGAAATGCCAAATTGTCCATATATATGCCAGCTGGCACCCATTTGAGCCAGGACACTGCCTGGTGGAAAAAATGCCCTCCCTGGGGCCACCAACCACAAGGTGCTGCTATGGATGTCCAGCCCCCAAGGATGCCTTTATTTGGTCTATGTTTTGTGTAGCCACAAGAGCTGGGTCTCCTATAAAGTAAACCACGAAAGGCAAGATTAAATGAGTCCTGCTACGCAGTGTTATCGGCACGGCGCTGTGTTTAAAGTCCTGGGCCTGTGTTCTTCCAAGGCTTCTCAGAAAAGCCATACATGGTACGATTCTCCTCTCCTGTCCTCATTCAAACGATGTTTTAATGGACAATAAACAGTATGCTTTATAAATAAGCAGAAAGCAGGAGGCAGAGATGTTGGGAGGGATGTAAAGACTGAGAGTTTTATACTCTGCAAGAAGTCCACCCAAAATCTAATTTTAGCCATTAGTTCCACAGCGACTGGGAAAGGACCTCCAGGAGAGTAGGTGAGGCTGGAAATTAACCACTTTTTTGAGGCAGCTGAGGATATTAAGGGGTTTCTTCTTGAGTTTTCATTTTTCTCTCTATAACCTGGCTCTGTGGTGAGATGTGACCCTCTTAGGACAGACTGGTGCATTCACTATTTCTCTGATCCCAGGAGTTGAAAGCGATTTTCAGGATGATGGAAAGCTCCCTTCCAAGTCCAAAATGTTTACAAAAGTAGTAAACGTTTTCTGACTTTTACCATGTTCCTGCATACTGTGAGGAAGACTTTTTCATTAATCAAAGATCCCCCTTACATACGTAGGCTCAGAACTTCTGCTCAAACACCAAACGCTCCCAACATCACCTTCCACTTTTGAATCATGTTGTTAGAATGCCAGCATCTATGTTAATTCAGCTTACACCCACTGCTCCTATTTTTGTTCCTGACCCAACTTCTCTTCCATATCTTTCAAACACTTAGAGTTCCCCTCCCCAGAAGAAACACCCCCAGCCCCTTCAGCTCTTCCTTTACGGTTTCAGAACCTTCAGCAACTTGACCACATGATGCTCACTCTCTGATTTGTTTCTGTCCCTTTAGAATGAGAGCCAGGAACTGGGCTGTGACCAATGAAGGCCTTTCGAATTTTACCACTGTCCAAATGCCATGATCCTTAGCTCTTATCTCTATGCAATCCTCGTTACCCCTTACTACAAGGACAGGCTGCAACTGTTAGTAAGCATTAATTGGTGGCAATAAAATGCTGTGGTGGGGAAACATGACAGCTGTCCAGCATGCCAAACTCTACCGCTGAGTTTATCGACATGTAGGTTCAAGTAGCTTTAATGTGAATTTGAATTCACTCTAACCCCTGCTTAGATAAATCAAACAGCAGAGCTTCTGGGACCTCACTGCCCATACAATTTAGGGAGCTGGCCAGGGTCTGCATCTGGGATGTAACAACTTCAAATCTAGAGGTTTAAACCATTGTGAATTATACTGGGCCATCTGAATTGGTTCAGAACAAAGCAATCTGGCAGACCCTTTTCTAATTCTATCTTCCAAGAGATGTGTATTGAGCTTTTTTGTTTTTCACATTTTCTGATATATTATCATCTGAAGTAGATGACTGGGTCAGACTAGATGGATTCAGACGTATTATAAAGGTCACAGAAGACAGAGTTTCAGCATTACAAAAATCACAAATAAGGATGTCTCTTCTACATACAAAAATATTTTCCAGAAAAGATAATTGTATATGAGCATTATTACATATATAAATAAAGCTATTAAATCATATAATGTCAAAAATGACTACTCTGAGTATGCCACCAATAGACTGAAATTTAACTGAGAAATTACTTTGGCAGAAAGTGGTTCTTTCTTCCCAGAGCACTGGGTGTGGTGACTTGGACACATGGACAACCATGTAACTACTGGATAAAGGGTATCTGCACCGCCTGCCACGCTGAAGTCTTTCTCCACCTCCCAAAGGTGGATACACCAGATGTGGCTCCACACTTGGTCTCAGTCACAACAGTGTGGCCATTCTGAAACTGGATACCCATTCAACCCACACTCCCTTTTCCTGACATCTCATTTCCAAGTATAATGTCATCAATTGTAAACTGGATAGACAGGTTCCCACCTGGACTCAGGAGCCTGTGTGGGCCAGTCAGAGAAGGCCTCCTGCAAGAGGGTTATTTGAAAAGAAGTGTAGCTATACACAGAGAGAGGTCAGACACATTGCATTTCTATGGACATCATCATTATGCAGAAACACAGCAGAATTTGTTTGATAATAAACAGTGGTTTGTTGAGATTTAGGATTTTATTATTTTTAGAAAAAAGAGAAAATTTACAAGATGCAAAGGTCTCACACAATACATTAGCATTGATGATTGCTCTCTTGACATCTCAACACGGACCCTGACTTATGAATCAGCAGTAGAAAGAACATGGACAGTGTGAGTGTGTTGGAGAGCCCCCTGCCATGGACACGCAGAATACACCACGGTGGACTTGATGACAAGTGATGCTGGGCCAGCCTGTTCCAAAAACAAGCCAAGATGTGGCAGAAACCAACAAAGCCTTTTTGCGAGGGAGGCACGTGGCCTTCTACCACGTGTACCCCCACCCCCCAACCCACCAGCAGTGCCCTCTGCCTCATTTTACCACAGCAACAACAGAAAATGGTAAAACGGTCCTTTGGTGTTTTTTGCAGAGCTATTCAGGTTACCAACTTCTTATTTCTGTCTTCCTCTTCATGTTTCAGTTCCAAATTCTTAAAGCAGCGTAGGTGCTTAGCATCTTGAATTTTTCAGGATCCAGTTCTGCCCATTGATAACACACTAAAAAGGCCAAAGAGAAGACATTTTAATAAAAAGGATTCCAATGTTTGCCTTCAGATTCTTTTAGCATAGGCAAATAAGAGTAACAAAACAGCTGAATATATGCTTTCAAGCTCATACAGTGACACCAGCATCAGTGTATTACTTCACTGAAAAACCTGTCATGCTGCCATGTATAGACGCAAATACCTTCTCCCCAAAGAGTCTCCTGTTCATTACAACTCCATTCTTAGAGCAAAAGGCACCAAGCCAAATATCTGAACATACTTCCAAATGGCTTCTGCATCAAAGAGAAGTTACCTGAAAACACAACATATCCTAATTTGTGATATTCACCTAAGGCAGGGCTTAGAGGAAAATTCACAGCATTGAATGCTTTTCTTAGAAAAGAAAAATGTTATCAAATCAATAATCTAGGTTTCTACCTTAAGAAATTAAAGAATAAAAGCAAAGTAACCCAAAACAAGCAGAAGGAAGAGAATAATAGGGAGCAGAAACTGATGAAATTTCAAACAGAAAAAGGCAAGAGAGAAAAAACATAAAAAGATCAATAAAATAGGTAAGTCTCTGGCCAGACTTACTCAGAAAATAGAGAAGACACAAATTATCAATATCAGAAATCAAACAGGCAACATCACTACAGACATTACAGACATTAAAAAGATAAAAAGAATATATCATGAGCAACTTCATGCTCACAAATTAGACAAAATAGATGAAATGGACACATTCCTTGAAAACAGACATAAAAGCTTCATTTCCAAATCCTTTAACAATGAGGGAGGTAGAGGGATGGGGAGCTTAAGGAAGGGCAGGGACAGGGAATAAACTAAATGCTAGTCTTGGGATATTTTAAATACTACTCAAAGGATGCTTGGCTCTTTGATACAAATGTCCATGTCTCAGGTTTCCTTTTGTAATTCTGAAGCTTTAACAAAAACCAGCTAATATTGCCAAGATCTGTGACATGCCATTTGTCATCCGAATGTTAAATCTAAAGCCTAAAAGGTCAGTTTCTATTCCCCCAGATCTGGATTCTAATTGGATGGACCTCAGTAAAAGCAAGAGAGCCGGTATGCCATGGCAGTGCCACCTCCATGGATGTGCTTCCTGATATGCTCAGTGCAGGCCACCTTCCTAAGAAAGGGTCGTATCACAAGCAGATGCTTCCATAGACTAGCAGCCCTCACTGCTCTGCCCAGCTGAATAGTGAAGTCCCTGTGCACACATGAGAAAGACAAGCTGACAGCTAGCCCATGCTCTGCGGCTCTGCCACCATATAAAGGATTGAAATTATCGCCAAGTCTACCCTCCTACTCCCAAACCCACCTGTAAGAGTCCTGCACACCTTCCTAAGAGCTTTCTAAAAGACCACCAGCAGGTGGAGAACAGACAACATCATTCCTGGGGACCATATTACTTTCAGTTTTTAGTTAATAGAAACAACCCATTTGTTCTCATACTGTATTGATCATGTTAACCCAAATTAAGGACCTGGAGACTATTCATACTTCTTTCTCTACCTTCAATACCAATAACTGAAATTCTGGAATTGTTCCCCACACTGATCTTTGAGAAACTCTAACTTCTTGGCACAGATTAAAATCTTTGTTTTTGAACTTAAGATGAGCTTTGGGATCCTGGTTGAATGTATTTTTCTTTTATATTTACTTCAATTAAATATTTTATAATATTTTACATTTTTAAGGCACTGAGATAATAAATTTAGCCTTCAGATGTTTGATGTGCAGATAAAAATTATAAAGCTTACAGTATAAGAATGACCTAGAAAAATGTTCAAGATATTCTGTTAAATGATAAAAAGCAGGTGATGCTGTATCTATACAGTACGTCTCCAACTTTGTAAAATTAGAGAAATAGATGTAGAATTATCTGTTTAGAAAAACTATTCCAAAGCACTATGCTAATAATAATTATCATAGAATGATACAATGGCAGGTGATTTTTATTTTCTTCTTCAGATAGTTTGGCATTTTTTATATTTTCTATGAATGAACATTAACTTTGTAATAAAAACGGCTTCAAAAGAAATTTTATATGAGGAAGATGATTTAGGAATTTCTATTCCCAACTAGAGAAACATAGAACTGGAAGGGATCCTGAGAGGTTTTGGCCAATGGGCTCTCAAAGTTTTTAGGTAAACTTCCTAGGCAAAGGAACTTAATAAATCATCTAACCTGAAGGACTAACCATTAGGTATGCCTTTAGAACTAACTGTACTACTACCAGGAACACTAATGGGCAGGCCTAATCATAAAATCAATGTTAGTATCATCAGTGATTTGCAAACTGCATGCAGGAGATTTTTAGCCAGCAGTGGACACTGTCCCAGCTGAAAGCCACTGCCCACCACAGTACATGCATTGGCCAATAGACGTTGCTCTCTATTTCCAGTCTCGCTTCCTAAAAATGTCTCTTCCTATTTTCTTGAACTATAGAATAACCCAAGAGCCAGGTTGCTGGCCACTAACCAAGAGTAGTGGAGACCATGCAGCTCACACAGCTGGAAGCCTGAATGAGGAAGGTGGGAGTGAGCTATCTGTGAGGTCCATCTGTCAAATTAGAAGCTCTGAGCAGAAGTCCTGTCCAAACTGAACACGTGGTTCTCCAGAAAAGGGTGGTCCATTGAGGCTTGAAATTCAGAAACCATGGATAAGGGGTAATATGCCTCCCTCTAAGAGGTATTTAAGGGATGATGTCTATTTCCAAATGCACGGTGTCACATGAGCTACTGAAGACAGACATGACCGAGGATCTGGGGACACCTGACAGGCAGTAGTAAGAGGTGCCTGGTAACTTAGCACCACAATTTCATAGTCTTATGAAAGAAGCTAGGGGAACCACCAGTATCCTCCACCTGTTGAAGTTGTTCCCTTTTACGGCCATCAGCCACAAGGGACAGTGAGGAACATCTCCAGTGAGGCCAGCCCAGGACCAGAAGAAATGAGTCTCTTCAAAGCCCATGTAAACACTGAATCCCTCAAAGACGCTGACTTCCAGCTGACCTGCTTCTGGCTTCAGACCATTTAAGCAACCACAGGATGCAAGTTCTAGACGTAGAACACACACATGCCACAGACCTGTTCTCCAAATCACTGCTAAAACAACCAAGATTTTTTTTTTTAACCTATTTATTTCAGGTCTTAGCTGGTAATCACATTGGAATTCATTTACCTAGAAAAGGAAGGCTGTTCTATGGAAAAACATGAGAGCTGCTGGGAAGTTATCAATGCAGGCTTCACTCTGACCTTCTAGCACTATTAGACTCCAGCAAGCTCCCACCACTGAACTGTCAATGCAGAGAATCTCTTCCTTTGCTTGAGAGCTGATGGTCCTGACTTCACAGATGAGAAGATAAAAAGAATTATTTTCTAATTATGAATGAAAAGCTTAATGCAATGCAATAAAACAAGCATGGAAAAAAAACTGATATTACCTGAAAGCAGTAGGAACGAAATCTGATAGCAATTTGCTTTTATTTTTTGGCTTTAACTTACTCTCCAGTCTATAATTTCTCATGTATATTGTTCATATTTATATATAAAAATGTCAGTCTTTTTTTTTTTTTTTTTTTTTTTTGTTTTTTTAGTTTTTTCTTTTTTTTTTCAGGTTTTTTTTTTTTTTTTTTTTGAGACAGAGTCTTACTCTGTTGCCCAGGCTGGAGTGCAGTGGTGCCAATCTCAGTTCACCACAACCTCCACCTCCTGGGTTCAAGTGATTCTCCTGTCTCAGCCTCTTGAGTAGCTGGGACTACAGGCACCCACCACCACATCCAGCTAATTTTTGTATTTTTAGTAGAGATGGGGTTTTGCCATGTTGGCCATGGCTGGTCTTGAACTCCTGACCTTAGGTGACCTGCCCACTTTGGCCTCCCAAAGTACTGGGATTACAAGCATGAGCCACTGCACCCAGCCAATGTCAGTCTTATAGAAATTAAAGTGGTTCAGATGATAGTATCAAAATCATAACTTGATCCCTGTAAGTTGGTGCTGTTTAGTTGAATTTTCTGCAATGATAGAATAACAGCCACTAGCTGTACATAGCTAGTGAGCACTTGAAATATGGCTACTATGACTGAGAAAGTGAATTTTAAATTTTATTTAATTTTGTTTGTTTGTTTGTTTGTTTTAACAAGACAGACAACTCCAGTTTATCAGCAGAGGGCAACTGATTAGGGAACTTACGAACAGAAGCATGGTCAGCAATAAGTCAGGTAGATCTCCGCAACATTATTCCCCAGACCCAGAGCTAATATACCATAGGAAAAGGGGTGTGTGCTCTATAGAGACAACGAAAGGCAACCCTCCAGAACAGGCCAGAAAGAGTTGCGCAGTAACATCAAGGTTGCTTTAACCTAAAGGCAGGATATATTGTGAGTACATGTTCTTGCATTAAAGACAATAAACAAACAAGGAATCAGGAGGCATTCACAGGACTGGGGTCAATCTGAGGTCAACGTGGCAGATTAGCATCCAAGATGGAGTCACTTTTGTCATCACACAAGTGTTTGTGTAGAGCTGTTTTCATTTCTTTTCTTTTTTTGAGATGGAGTCTCACTCTGTCACCCAGGCTGGAGTATAGTGGCACCATTTCGGCTCACTGCAACCTCTGCCTCCCGGGTTCAAGTGATTCTCCTGCCTTAGCCTCCCAAACAGCTGGGATTACAGGCGTGTGCCACCACACCTCGCTAGTTTTTTGTCTTTTCAGTACAGACGGGGTTTCACCATGTTAGCCAGGCTGGTCTCGATCTTCTGACCTTGTGATTTGTCCACCTCAGCCTCCCAAATTGCTGGGATTACAGGTGTGGGCCGCCGTGGCCGGTCCATGTTTTCATTTCTTTTGGGTAGATAGCTATGAATTGAATGGTTGAGTCATATAGTAAACCTTTATTTATTTTACTTATTTTAAAACAGGGTCTTCCTCTGTCACACAGTCTGGAGTGCAGTGGTGCAATGTCAACTCACAGCAACTTCAGCCTCCTGGGTTCAAGTGATTCTCATGCCTTAGCCTCCTGAATAGCTGGGATTACAGATGCGTGCCAACACACCCAGCTAATTTTCTGCATTTTTAGAGATGGGGTTTCACCCTGTTGGCCAGGGTGTTGTCTCCAACTCCTGGTCTCAAGTGAGCCACCAACCTCGGCCTCCCAAAGTGCTGGGATTACAGGCTTGAGTCACTGCGCCCAGCCTAGCTTCAACATTTTGAGAAATATCAAATTATTTTCCAAAGTGGCTGCACCATTTACATCCCCACTAGCAACGTATGAGGGTTCCAATTTCCTCACATCCTTGCCGGTACTTGTTACTGTCAGTCTTTTTGATATAGCCATTTTAGTGGCTATGTAGTGGTATCTCGTTGTGGTTTTTTTTTTCTTTTCTTTCCTTGCTGCCGTGTAAAGAATTTTTTTTTTTTTTTTTTTGAGATGGAGTCTTGCTCTGTCATTCAGGCTACCAGGCTACAGTGCAGTGGCACAATCTCAGCTCACCACAGCTTCCACCTCCTGGGTTGAAGCAATTCTTCTGCCACAGCCTCCAGAGTAGCTGGGACTACAGGCGTGTGCCACCATACCCGGCTATTTTTGTATTTTTAGTAGAGATGGGGTTTCACCATATTGGTCAGGCTGGTCTCAAACTACTGACTTCAGGTGACCTGCCTGCCTCAGCTCTATATCACTGTAAACTGGCTCCACCATTCTGAAGAACAGCCTGCTAATGTGCCAGGGCCAGTTCATGCTGTAATTCAGTAACAGAGTCTAAAATGTAATCACCCCTCCCTTCTCACAGGCCCCTTCGCTGGTTTATTTACAGCACTTATCATGGTCTAAGTTAAATATGTCACTTGTCAATTCTGTTAATTGCCTGTCTTCTCCTCCAGAACTTAAGTTCTACGAGCTCTGCCAGTGACCTGGTTTGCCAGGTTCTAAAAAAAACAAGTACTTGTCCTCACCCTCAAAAGGGAGAGTATATAACATTTATAACAGCATAATTGATAACAGTAAAAACCAGAACCTACATGCCCAGAGGATAACTAAACAAACTAGAATATAATGATGGCATAAAATGCTGAACAACTATTAAACATAAAATATTTGAGGAGAGTCTGAGGTGGGAGGATCTCCTGAGTCCAGGAGTTTAAGACTACCCTGGGCAGCAAAGCGACACCTGCCTCTACAAAAAAAAATTTTTAATTAGCCGGATGTGGTGGTGGGCACCTGTAGTACCAGCTACTCAGGATGCTGAGGTGGGAGGATCACTTGGAATTCAGGTGAGCTAAGAAGTGCCACATTGCACTCCAGCCTGGGCAATAGAGAGAATCTGCCCATGCACATCCCTGCAGAAGCCAGTGGCCAGGCCCTCAGCCCGCAGGATCAGGTGGCTCTGATGACTGAGGCCATTCAGCAGGATGTCATTCTCCTCATCCTCCACATCTCCACTGTCGTGCACAAGGACCACCACATTTCCCTTTAGTTCCCAGCACACGGTGGCTCTGCAGTAGTGAATAAAGTCCAGCACAGCCACCGCCCCCAGGCCCAGGCTCAGGAGCACACTGAGGTCGTCCACCAGCAGCACCGGGTAGGTCCACCCAGCCTCTCCACTGTCTACTGGCTTCAGGGCCTCCCGTACAAACTCAAACAATGGTTTCAAGTTCCCAGCATTGGCCTCCCTGAGAAACTGCAGGGGGTGCGGCTTCTCTTGAGGCTGGAAGAAGACGTCCACTGCAGACTTGAGTCCCTCGAGGAACACAAGCTGCCCACGCTCCCGCGCCATGGTCAGGTTGACACCCAGCTTCTGTCCCACGATATTGTAGTGGCTGAAGGACTGGATGAGTGCCACAAAGCAGACTTTACAATTAGCTTTGAGGTAGAAGGAGAGAAAGTGGTGTACAAGGAAACTGCCATCTGTCTTGGCATCACAGAGTAGAGTCAGTTTCCCCTGCTCCACCCTGTCCGGGGTGGTGTTGAGCAGGTTATTAAGTTCCGGGAACATTCCGAGCTCCTGGGACTAGCGCTCTGGAGGAGAACTCAGGGTGCTGCAGAGACAACGGAGGCTGGAGAGCAACAGGAACCGACTAGCACGGCTCGCGCGGAGGAGTGCGCATGCCATTTTATTTAATTTTAATTTACAACTAAATATCCACATGCAGCTAGTACCTACTGTATTAGATGGCACACTCTATTTGTAAGCCTAGCTCTGCACCTTAGTAAGAGACAGAATCACTAATCATGGCCAGTTTCTTACCAATTTATTTTCTAATAAGGTAATGGATATGGAAGCTTGGGCACGGTGAAAATCCAGCTCCACTGCTGGTAAAGTAACATAATATGCCTATTCTGCATCAGTGAGGAAGCAAACCAATCTCATGAATAACAAAAAACCAGAATGGCACTTAAGGTTTGGGAAAAAATAACCTCCAGGTAAGAAGAGGAAGAATGGGGCAGACAAAAATATTTTAAGAGATATTACTTAAAATTTCCAAAATGTATTGGAAGGCATACATTTACAGATTCAAGGTCAGTAGACCCAAAAAGATCCTCAGAATGAGATTCAGCTATGACACAGATATTGGAATTACCAGACAGGCAACTTTTTTAAACTATGATTAATATGTTAAGAGTGCTAATGAAAAAGGTAAACAATATGCAAGAACAGATAGGTAATGTATGCAGAGAGATGGAAACTCCAAGAAAGAAACAAAAGGAAATAATAAATCAGAAACACTGTAACAGAAATGAAGAATGCCTCTGATGGGCTCATGAATAAACTGGACACAGTCAAGGAAGAATCAGTGAACTTGAAGATAGGTCATTACAAACTTTCCCAACCAAAAAACAAAGAGAAAAAGAATGGGAAAAAAAGAACAGACTATCCAAGACTGTAGAGCTATTACAAAAGATGTAACACACACACACACACACACACACATATATATACACATATATATGTAACATTTATAGATATAAATAAAAAACATATATATGATATATACATATATATATATATTTGGAATGCCAAAAGGAGAAGAGAGAACAGAGAGGAAATTATGAAAGGAGCTAGAGGTATTGAAGTATTAATGGCCAAGAACTTTCCAAACTTAATAACAGACATCAAATCACAGATCCAAGAAGCTCAGAAAACACCAAGCAAGAACCACACCAAATTATGTCATATCCAAACTGCAAAAAAACAAAAGTTTCTGAAGAAGCTGGGGTCTGGGGGCAAGATAAGGAAAGCCCACCTTACCTACAGAGCAATAAGAATGAAAATTACAGGGGACTTTTCATAAGAAACTGCAAACAAGGAGAGAGAGGAATAAAAATTTAAATATTTCCTTCCTCTCTCTCATGCCTTGGAAACTCAAAGCTGCTCCTCTAGGGCTATGAGACTCCTAGGGCTCTTTGTTTTTAAAAAAGGCAAATTAAAAAAAAACAAAAAACAAAAAACTACCAGTCTAGAAGTCTATACCAGCAAAATTATCCTTCAAAAACAAAGGAAAGGCCAGGCATGGTGGCTCATTCCTATAATCCCAGCACTGTGGGAGGCTGAGGTGTGTGGATCACTTGAGGTCAGCAGCATAAAAGCAGCCTCACCAACATGTTGAAACCCCGTCTCTACAAAAAATACAAAACTTAGCCAGGCATGGTGATCCACGCCTTTAATCTCAGCTACTCAGGAGGCTGAGGCATGAGAATTGCTTGAACCCAGGAGGCAGAGGTTGCAGTGAGTAGAGATTGCATACTGCACTCCAGCCTGGGTGACAGAATAAGGCTCCATCTCAAAAAAAAAAAAAAAAAAAAAAAAAAAAAAAAAAAAAAAAAAAAAAAAAAAAAAAAATATATAAAAAAAAAAAAAAAAAAAAAAAAAAAGGCTATTTAACGTAATGATAGTGACAATGTATTGGATGATAATCACATATGTAAAGTAAAATGAATGACAGCAATGTCGCTGGGAATATGTTGTTATAAGGTGCCTGTTACAGGTGAAGCAGGAAGTGTCATTTGAAGGTGGACTTAGACTAGTTAAAAATGTATATTGTAAACTCCAGAGCAACCACTAAAAAAAATTGTTTTAAGTTAAAAATAAATAAATAAATAAAAACACTACCCCCGAGACACAGCTAGTTTTATACCGTGAAATATCAGCACATGGACTTGAGAATGTGGTACAAATGTTGATACAGAGAAGCAAAGATAATGAGAAGAGTCCTACCTTATATGGTGAAAAGAACAGTGAAAAGGGACTGAATACCCTTTCAGCAGAAAATACACGCACACACACACACACACACACATACACACACACACACACACACACAAAGACACACACACACACTCGGCTACTCTAGCTCATGAGGAAGAAGTGTGCTCAGCTGGGACACATCTTGCTATTCAGACAAAGGTCACATTGAAAAAGCCAACAGATGGCAGCTTCCAAAACACTTTCCTTGTTTGGTTTCAAGTGTGTTGCCATTTGAGGACAGAAATGTCGGGTGCTGGTCAGGAACATGCTCCTCTCACACCCTAACTGCAGCAGCTAAGTCGAGAGGCGATACTTGACCCTGCAATCAAATCAGAAACCACATTCTTTTAGTGAGAGGTGGCCCTAGTGCCTTTAGCGGTGGCCAGAAAGGGAGAAATAATAGAGCTCCATCCTCACAGAAAATCTCGAATCCACCCAGCAAGGTGAGAGAGCCTGAAGAATTGAGACAGAGGACAAAAACACAGTTAATTTTAGTAGTTTAATGTCCACTTGGTAAAATAAGAAGCAACATTTGCAATGTGATAGAGAAACGTCAACACCCTGGGAATGTCCTCTGAACCATGAAGGGTTTGAATCATTTTCAAAGAAAAATATGCCCAAGATCATGCAGCTTCTCTTTCCATTTTCTTTTGCCTTTTCTTTCTCTCCCATGCCTTGGAAGCTCAAAGTGGCTCCCCCTAGGGCCTGCCAGATTCCCTAGGACTCTTCCCGTTTTTAAAAAAAGCAAATGAAAAGTGCTCCCCACTTCATAGTGAGGAGGCTGCTGTTGTTCTGGGGAACAAAACAAATGCCAGGGTCACCTTCTATCTGTTACTATTTAAGTCACCTCTCATAGATATCTGAATATTTGGCGCTGATTTTGTGGCCTACTGGAATCACAAATTTCATCAGCAACGACAACAACAAAAAAACCAAATATATCATTGGAATACCAGTTGTCGCTTGGTTCTGGTCCTGATTAGGGTCTTCAAGTCCAGAAACATGGCTAAATTCTTGGAAGCAGGAGCACCCAGCCCCGCTCTGGTCCTCGGCTAGTTGTGGGTGGCTCCAAAGGACTCCTCCCTGCCTGGATATCTGTCCATGCCTGGTACTGTCACTCCTGACTCTGATATAAAGAAGTACAACTGGAAGCCTATGGTAAACCATCAATAAATGGCTTTTCTTGTGCGCTCTGTCCAAAATCCAGACGGTACCATATACATTGGTATAAACAAAACATGGCTTCTGTCTTTTCATGGGCAAATCTAAACTTGTTCATGAGCCTCCATGCGCTGAGTAGCAGCAGGGGGGTTCCTGAGCACACAGAAGTTCCATCTAACTTTGGTGTCAACAGCACTCAGGGTCGTCAGAGTCCTCTGTGGCAGGGTGGCCAGTGTGGCTCGGCACCTGGGCCCTGGCACGGCACCACTGAGGTAAAGCAGGCTACTTGAAGTTTGGTGTCTCTTGCTCAGGGACCCAGGGCCCTCTCTGGCTGACCTGGCCTCATCTCAGTTCTCACCAGCACGTCTCACTCAGTCTCAGGTCTTATTAATGATAGACCCCTGCAAGTCTCATCCAGGAGGCCAGATGGTGGTCACAGCTGAGATCTGGAGGGTCTCTAGACTTCTGCAATCACCTTCTAATGCTGCCTATCTGCTTCCAGTCTCACTTCTCAAGGCTGCTAGAGTGCTCTTTTTAAACTTTGTATTTGATGATGTCACTTGTACACTTAAAACCTTTAAAATCCAAGTTCCTCAGGGTTGCATACCAGACCCTATACAATCTAGACCTCCTATTTCTCTAATTTCAGAGATGTCCCCTGCCCTCCCATGACACTTGGCACTCAATGTTCCTGCCATTCTGCAATTCCTCCATTCCCAAACACTCCTGCCCTTGTCCTCCAGCCCCCAGAGAGCATTTGCACTGCTCTTCTCTCGGCTTAGGTAGCCCTCCCCTGCCCCTGCCCCTCATCTTCCTCCCCACTGCCACCTGTCCTTCCAGGTCTGGTTCCAAGCCTCTGAGGGGCCTCCCTTGACCTCCCATCTCTACCCCACACCTGTTCACACTCCTGCAGCATGCACTGTGCTGCCGCGTAACTGTTCCTATGCTTCTCCCTGAGCCTGTAACCTCCCTGTGACAGGTCCTGGGTCACAGGACCTCAAATCTGCACCCAGTATTTGGTCCAGTGCCTGGAAAAATAAACAGATTCCCTGAGGGGAGGAACTAGTGCCATCGGACGGTGGCATCACATTTTCAAGGTCTCTGATATTCAGGTAGGGAGGTGGACTCTGTGCTATAGTGAGCCACAGTGACAAGAATAAAATGTCATTTTAGGAAAAGTAAACTGGCAGAGCCACACGGGGCATTGTGAAGGATGGTGGAATACGAGGCAGGTGGCAATGAGAGGAAGCCGCTGAGATGGCAGTGCCCTTCGCTGGAGTGGCTGAGAGCAGGAAGGGAGATGGGGGAGCATGGGCAGACTCCGTGCATCTGTGTCGGGATTCCGCATCCACAAGTGCTCTGCACAGGCAATCAGAGCAGCAGCTGCGGACTAGCACAGGCACCTAGGGAAGGCGGCACACACAGGTTCTACCCCCAGGTGAGCACCCCAGGCCTGTGGATACACCATCCTCCTGCGTCTCAATGAATAAACTACAAATTTATTTGTTAACTGATATGATTTGGCTGTGTCCCCACCCAAATCTCATCTTGAATTGTAGCTCCTATCATTCCCACATGGGAACACATACATGGGAATTATGGGAGCTACAATTCAAAATGAGGGTCCAGGTGGGAAGTAACTGAATCATGCGTACAGTTTCCCACATACTGTTCCTGGGGTCGTGAACAAGTCTCACAAGATCTGATGGCTTTATAAGGGGAAGCCCCTTTCGCTTGACTCATATTCTCTTGCCTGCCACCATGTAAGACGTGCCTTTCACCTTCAACCATGATTGTGAGGCCTCCCCAGCCATGTGGAACCGTGAATCCATTAAACTTCTTTATCTTTATAAATTACCCAGTCTCAGGTATGTCTTTATCAGCAGTGTGAAAAGGACAAACACACTAACTTTTGTCTCCATCCTGGAAGGCAGTGGCTTTAAGGAAGCTATGGATGAACGTCTGTGAAATGAATGAATTAGGCCTCAGCAGCTATTCCCTCCTATTCATTGCTGCTTCCCCAAAATGTGGGAAGATGAAGCCATGCAGGAAACTCCTACCTGAATTCTGCCTCCTGAGCTACGGCTCCCGTTCAGAGGACACATCACCCTCAGCCCCGCTGCTGGCACTGCGGTCTTCTTTTCGGGGAGTGTTTCTTTCCTTGCTTGATTCAGAAGGCCCCTTAGCTCTGGTCTTTTCTTTTCTCTGCTGCTGTTTTTCAAGCTTTGACAGCTGATGAAATAAAAATAATATTTTACAAACACAAACACATGCCTGCATATCCCACATACCAGTGACTTCCCAGGTGGGAACCATTGAAAAGGTTTTTTCTGATAACCTGGCATAACACAGTGGTTCAGATATACCAAATTATAACACAATGTTTCTCCAACAAGCACCTAAATCACTGAAACAGATCATTAGTCAGAGGAGTAATCACTCTCAGACTATTCCCCAACCATAATTCAACTTGGCACACAGTACGAGGGAATGGTCAAACCACAGCCCTCTTCAACAGCCTTAGAAGAGCTCCATACATAAAGGTTTTTCATCTCTTACTTTTTTCTTTAACAGTTTTTTTCTCATTAAGTTGTCTTCTACTTGTTGCTTTCTTTTTTCTCTTTTTTTTTTTTTTTTTGAGATAGGGTCTCACTCGCTGTGCTGCCCAGGCTGAAGTACAGCGGTACAATCATGGTTCACTAAAGCTTCAACCTCCTGGGTTCAAGTGATCCTCCCACCTCAGCTTCCCAAGTAGCTGGGACTACAGATATATGCCAATTTTTCTATAGAGACAGAGTTTCACCATGTTGCCCAACTGTTCTTGAACACCTGGTTTCAATCAATCTACCCACCTTGGCCTCCCAAAGTGTTATGATTACAGGTGTGAGCCACCACACCATGCTACTTGTTTTCTCAAGAATGTTCAAAGCACTTCACTCTTTGCTGAAGATTACAGAAAAGGCTGTGAAACAAAGTGCATTAAGCACACTGAACATTGTCTCAGTTATCAGCTGGTTTGAGACTGAAGCCTGACTCACCTGCAGCCGAGGTGCTGAGTGCTCCCAGCAAGCTGCATGGTGGTGACACTCAGGACCCTGGCCACCAGAGCCTTCTCAGGCTCCCCACCTGGCCAGCAGGGGACACGCCCCTGACGTCTCACTTGAATAAAACCTGGGCCCACTTCTTCCCTCAATAGCTCTTCAAAGAAACCATCAGCTAGGTGGCTGAAAGAAGCTTCCATCATCTAATACTGAGCAGCAGCCCAACCACTCCAGGGAGGCCTGCTGAAAAACCCAGCAGAGAAGGCTGGCAGTGTTTTGGCTCACAGGATTTTCTTAGGCCAAAAAACACAAGAGACAACAACACCCAGTTTTATCTCCCCTCAGATCAAGTCTGTGAACTTTTTCTAGTTTACATAAAAAGAAGGAAACTTATTGAAAGGCTGGCTTCTCCCTACTGGTCCCTGCCCCACATCCAAAGAAAAGTCACATCCCCCCATCTGCCAGATCATTTCTTCCACTACGGGCAGACTTTGAGCTAACCCTTCAAGAGATGAGCAACCAACCAGTAGCTCTCAGTGTAGTCCAGAAAATCAAATTTATTAATAATTGACTTTCAGCAGTGGTCCCCAACATTTTTCGCACCAGGGACGGTTTCATGGAAGACAATTTTTCCATGAGATGGGAGGACAGGAAGTGGGGATGGTTTCAGGATGAAACTGTTCCACCTCAAAGCATCAGGCATTAGATTCTTGTAAGGAACGTGCAACCTAGATCCCTCGCATGCACAGTTCGCAATGGGGTTCCCGCTCCTGTGAGAATCTAACGCCACGCTGATGTAACAGGAGGTGGAGCTCAGGCGGTAATGCTCACTCACAGGCTGCTCACCTCCTGCTGTGCAGCCTAGTTCCTAACAGGCCACGGATTAGTAATGGTCTGTGGCCTGGGGGTTCGGGACCCCTGACTTACAGTATTCTTTCCCACTGCTCATTTACCTGAAAAACTGTAGAATACAGCTAGGTTTGGTTTATATGCTAATTAGATTTTGTGAATGAAGACATCACTTCACTTTTGACTCAGCAACTCTCCTCCCAGAAAACTGGGTGTTGCTGTCTCTTGTGTTTTTTGGCCTAAGAAAATCCCATGGTCCAAAACTTGGCCAGTCTTCTCTGCTGGGTTTCTCCAGGGCGCAGGCCTCCCTGGAGTGGCCGGGCTGCTGAGTGTTACTAAAGATACCACCTCACTTTAGACTCAGCAACTCTCCTCCTAGAAAACTCCCCTGGATAAATTTCCACTTCTGTGCACAGTGGGGGCTTATAAGAACATGTACTGTAGTATCATTTCTATTTGCAAAAACCCAGAAACAACCCAAATGTCCATCATCATTACAAGAACAGATACATGTAATGTGGTCTGGTTCCTAAAGCAATACTACACAGCAGATCTACATATATCAAAATAGGTAAGTCTTGGCCAGGGGCAGTGGCTCATGCCTGTAATAGTGGCACTTAGGGAGGTCAAGGTGAGCAACTGCTTGAGCTCAGGAGTTTGAGACCAGCCTGGGCAACACAGGGAGACCCTGTCTCTACAAATAATAATACAAAAGTTAGCCAGGTGTGGTGGCACATGCTTACAGTCCCAGCTACTCAGGAGGCTGAGGCAGGAGGATCGCTGGAACCCAGAAAGCGGAGGTTACAGTGAGCCCAGATCATGCCACTGTACTCCAGCCTAGGTGACAGAGGAAGACTCTGTCTCAAAAAAAATTTCTTTTAATTTAAAAAAAGTAGGAAAATCTTGAAAATCATGTTTGCAAAACAAATTGAGCTTCAGAAGGCTATATATAGTAGGATTCCACTGGCACAAAATAATACTCTATATTGCTAGTAAGGTCATGCAAATACAGCATAGCCTAAAAGAATACATATCAACTTCAATACACTAGTTAACGTGGAGGGAAAAGAGGAGAATGGGATCTTAGAGAAATGAATATATACAGCCTTCAACTATAATTGTCAACTTTGTAAGAACAAAACTAGATCTAGAGCAGAGTTACTGATCAGTGCAAGTCCACAAACTGCACATGACACCTGAACCAGTGACAGTAAGATACTCATGTCAGAATGTAATCAACACACAGCTTCCTTCATCAGCAAAGTCTTGTGAGAGATTTCTTCTCAACTGTCAGCTCAGTGGTATAGCTGACTTCATTCTGGCACAAAATGAAGGTTTCAGTGAGCCGAGATCACACCCCTGCATTCCAGCCTGGGTGACACTGAGTGTACACACACATATGCACACATACATAAATACCTATGAACAGGTCCAGGTCAGATGCTGAAGTTATAATTTTAGTTTTAAAAAGTAAGATGCCCTCTTAGTTTTGTTCTTTGTCTCGCCATGGCCTGGTAACAAATAGCTCATGTAGCAGCACTTTAAGCAGGAATGAATGATCTGGAGCAAAGATGATAAAAAGCTAGCATTTTTTAAATCTGGGAAATGGCCACACAGAGCTACTTGCTATATAGGTCTCTGTAGTATTATTTTTCCATGGACAAATATTTTTCTCTTTGCTATTCTGCCACAGGTTAGGAGGAATTTCCTGCATCTAAAGTGACAGCCTTCTTTCCCTTTGTCTCTCTTCTAGTGTTAAAAGGCTCTTTCTTTGATGAAATTATAAGGACAGTGTATAGGACTCCTTCTGTCTCATTTCTTTCTTGCAAACTGGTTTTGGATTTTTACAGCGTGGATATACCTATTACTACTAAGCCGTATGCTTAAAATGGTTAAGATGGTAAGTTTTATGTGTATTTTACTATAATTTTAGAAATTAAGCCATTTTGGAAATCATTAAGTTAGCAATCCATGCTAGACTCCCCAATTTCTTTTTGTTTTCTATATTCCTGATTCATAAAATCCAAATATCTGGGAATTGGTGTTCTGCGGTAAATTGTGATAAGGTGCCTTCTGCTGCCAGCAATTTACATTTTATATTTGCATCCATGTGTTCATACTAGTGTGTCTCATGTATGTGTAGATGCATACACATATACACACATATATAAATACTCATGAACAGGTCCAAGTTGGATGCTGAGAAAGTACAATTTTTAAAAAGCAAACTGGGTACAGTTGCTCACACCTGTAATCCTAGCACTTTGGGAGGTCGAGGTGGGCGGATCACGAAGTCAGGAAATCAAGACCATCCTGGCCAACATGGTGAAACCCTGTCTCTACTAAAAAATACAAAAATTAGCTGAGCATTGTGGTGCATGCCTGCAGTCCCAGCTACTCGGGAGGCTGAGGCAGGAAAATCGCTTGAACCCAGTGGGCAGCAGAGGTTGCAGTGAGCCAAGATTGCGCCACTGCACTCCAGCCTAGGTGACAGAGCAAGACTCCATCTCAAAAAGAAAAAGAAAAAAAAAGCAAGATGCCCTCTCAGCTTTCTCATCTTCAGAGATAAAATAAAATAAAATGTGAATATCAACAATCACAAAACTAAACAAAGATGTAATGTCATGCAAAGGCCTCTTTGTGACCCAGCCTGTTCTTCACTTTGTACTCTTCTGTGCTATTGAGAACCAGATCCGGAGAAGATAGTGAGGACTAACCCCAATAAGCACAGGCTTCTGGAGGTTTCTCAGCTCCTCCTAGTGTCATTAGACTCTGCTGAGGCAGAGGCACAGACACCACAGATGCAGAAACGTCCATCTGACCTTACCCTTCAACCCCGTTCCCTCCCACCGAGAGCCAGCTTTTAAATCACATGTGATAGCTATTTAAGTGACAGGCACAGCCCACATTTCTGCCAGCCATGTAATGCTGACTCTCTTACAGTATTTATCTTAAAACAATCCAACCACATATGGCTCCACGCCGCAAACTCAAGTTCTCTGTGAGAACATTGTGAACTAACCTAATAAATTTAAGCCTTTTCTCAGAAAACTTGGAATCCAACGCAGCCGAAATGTGGAATTTACATCTCAAGGCAAGAAAGCAGCTGGATTTTTTTTTTTTAAGGAAACAAATGAGAAAAAAAAGAAGAAAAGAAACTGGTACTGCGCATGGGCTCAACCAGAATGTCAACAGCTTTCAGATTAAGAGATGCATGTCAAGGAGAATATAAACCACTACAGGTCTGTGAACATACGATCTACAAACACTGAAATAGAGTACTTCTGGTTTTTTGTTTGTTTGCTTGTTTTTAATCAACTGGTGAGAGAGCCCACATTATAA